AGGCCTTCATAGGCATTGCCTCTCGACTTGAGGTCTGGTGTCACGACAGAATCGCCGCGGGGATCCCGCTTAGGAGCCTACTCCGTGCTCTTCTCTTCGTGCCATGTGCGGCAACTCCAACGGCGGCACCTCGGCGACGGATCCTACCGAATGCAACTTTCCCAAGTTGGTCATGGGTCGGCTGGTACGGCGCCATCACCTACGGCTTCGCTCATGAGGGGCATAACAGCGATGCATTTGTTATAAAGAGCCTGGTGAAGAATTTGATCCTCTGGGCGGAAGAATCACCTAGCTTTTTCCCTTTTGTGCCCTACGACCATCCACACACGTTGCACAAGCCTGAGGCGGACGGTCGCTGTTGTGATACGGAGCAGTGGGCTCTCGACAATGTCGCCCGCGCAACAGTCCTAAATGCCGACGAGAGCGATCAAGATGATGGATCGATCCTGACGCGACGTGGACTAACACGCGGAGAGTGGGATGCAGGTGCATACTTTAGGCTCCAAAAGTCAGTCTGCTTGTCTTTTGTCGCACCCTTCGTACCTTTGCAATTCTTTACTCTATTGGACTATTCTGTCAGCAATTTTAGCAGCGGCAACGGCTCCCACACGCTATATGTGGCACCAATCTTAGATACTTCGGGGACTCGCTGCGGTATTATCTGCGGTGCGCCGGGACAGGACGTGTTGGAGCAAATGAGGGCAAGAGGACAAGATATTCTGCTTGTAGGGATTGGCTTTTCCAGAATGACACAGATGGGATTGGTAGGTACAGATAGAGAGGGATCGTATCCGCCAACGAAGTCCGGATGGGAAGAGGGCTGGTGTGGCTGTGTTATTGACGTTATGCTCGTTTCAAGAAACCCTAGGACGGAAAGAGCCGAGCGACTTGCGGTGGGGAAGATATACTCGGATGCCTGGTGGAAGGCTAAGTGTAAGATCGAGAGGTTCTATTTGTTCTGATGATAGTATTAGGGTGGTTTATCTTCGGGCACGGTATAAGCACCATGAGGCCCCAGAACAAGTCCCTACCTACATAGAGGATTAGGAAAGAAGTAGATGGAAAGCGGAAAGCTGATTTCGCTAGTAACTGTAAACTACCTATACATATATGTGACGAAATTATGGTAGGAATTTACTTCCTAGATTCCCACATCGTCCTCGCAAATTGGCATGTTCTCACCTCCTGGCTGCGGTTAGGTAACCAACATATCCTACGAGTTGGACGGAACAACTGCCTTAACCGTGAGCCAACGCAAAGGGTAAAGTGTTGCGTGGAGGACCACTCCACGTGACAAGGTCTCGTACCCAGGACTCCGGTCTGGCAGACCAGTCCCTGGGAAGCATAAATAGCATTGTCCCGAGCACAGTTCGTGTGCCGGGCCATCGAATCTTATACCTTCACACCATACTTTCAGGATTCGGTCACCTTTTCTTTCGTGATATATTTATTTCCTTTATGTTAGTTAGGGAAGTCTTCGCCTTCCCAAACTCCCTCTTCAGACCGGATCTACACCCGGCCTCCAGTACAATCCACAGAACTGTCCACAGATCCAGACACTGAACCACTGCCCGGCCTAACGCAATACGGCCCTAACTTCAGGGACTGGATTCCTCCCAGGACCGTCTTCAAGACCAGTCTCAAGACCTATTTCCCTGGGATATTTCCGCATTGTGGCCTTGCCACATAACAGGGATACTAATATTAAATATAAGAAAATATTAATCTTATAGGAGAGAAGTAAAACAAAGGAAGAGAAAACTTAAGCGTGATGCTTATGAGGCACGAAACCATTTATGTAATTGTAATTCTAATTTTAACTTTACGGAAGTTTAACCGGGGTGGTATAAAGGGGTCTAAGCGTCGCTACGATCAACACACCCCCGGCACAGGGTAGCACACCCCCTATACAGGATAGCACACCCCCTATACAGGCTAAAGCCGGTGCAGTACCGGTCTACTTACGAAGAAGGCAATTCTTAAAGTCGACATTCGGAACAGGAACTGGACTGTTTCCAGGGATGGAAGTGATGCAGCTATCGGGGCCAGCGACGCCGTGCCATCATCTTCGGTGGCGGCCGAATTTTCGTTCTCATGATTCTCGGTTTGACTTTGCAGGTTGGGATCTGTAAGTGGGATTGGTATTAGTATGAAATGTCCTTAACCTTTCGACACATAGCGGTAGCCAGTTGGGAGTTGTGGTTCGGCAAAACCATAACAAGGAGTCCGCGGCCTCAGCTAGCCTAAGGCTTGTGCCAAACATCGATGTGTGATGTTTGAGTATTGCACCCTGGCCATCTCAAAAGTGGCGGACCTCAAACTCATAGAGTCTGTTGTGATCTCCTCGAGCCAAGACTGAGTGTTGGGATCAGAAATCCAACGGCAGGGGCTGCGGCAACACCCTTGGAGGACGAAAGCGACTCCAAACTGGGACCCGCGGTGAGAGCCGCAGGTTCCTGGTCGGAGTCGCTTGCGACCAGACCGAACTTCTGCGACTTGGCCAGCTGGGCCATGGCTGCATGGAGGATTGTTAGCAATTGCATACGATACCACCCGCCGCTCTTCAAGATTAAAAACTTGCTTTTCTTGTTCGACTGTCTCAAGGTTTCGTTCGGGCGCGTCGCTAAAGTCCGGTCCGTTCCAGGGTGTTGCGTGGTGGGAGATTTTCTTGCTCGGGCAGGTGGTGCTTGGAGGGACTTAATTCTGGCAATGTGGGGCTGCTTTCGCGGAGCAAGGCCAATGTGCCAGTGCACATCCAACAGTTATTGAAAATAAGAGTGGGAAATACACTGATGGGGTTCAAACCTGTGTCTTTCAGCACTTTTCCCAGGACGGGGCTGAGACATCATCTATTCGTAGAAGGACCTGTAACCTCCAACGAGAAAATGACCACGCTTTGCATGCTACCTTAAAAATACCGATGATCTACATTCCACTATAGCTAATCTCTGCATTTTGATCGGAACTTTATAGAGCCTGATGAGTCCGCCCTTCTGTGGAATGTTGCAAATCTAACATCGTCCTTTTACTGCCTTGTGTCTAGTTAAATCTCGGCCCGCAGCTGAATATCATCATAAGGGTTTGTTAAGCTCAATCAGAAAGACCTTATTGAGAAATGACCCCAACAGTTGATACCAATTTGGGGAGGTAAGCCTAAGCCAGAACCATGCTATGCCAGGATTGACCTTGTGGGCAACGATGGCATCACACCATGGTGAGGGGGGCAGATGCTACGTCTTAGACTGCTTCCCAACCCATTAAAGCCTCCAAACCATAGCTGCTCACATAGCAAAATCAATGATTGCGGTCATGGAGGTCTGAGGTGTCGGTCGCTGCAAAAGCGCAATTGACGTTGAAAGTGGACCAGAGGTGGGTAGGGATGGCGCTAAACGTCCCGAAGTTTAGCCTGCCCGCACAACACCACACTATTGTGCACTACATAAACCTGGCAGTTATGCATAAGCAAAAAAAGCACACGATAACAATGCCGAAAGCGAGGAAGCTGACTTTTCAACGAAGCGGATGAGCCACAAGATGCACAATCAGGTTGCTGAAGACCAGCTACTGGATGATCTTGCCAAGAAGAACAAGGAGTGGGTTATGAGAAAATGTATTTTGTTAGGCGACAGTGGCATGGAAAGGGAGAGGGTCGAGGTGCAGAGAGAAGAGAAAGGAGTATTTATGACATTGTTGATTACGAGTCAACGAGGGAAAAGGCAGGTGAGGCCGCGGATGATGAGAGTGTGGGGAGCTGAGGCTGAAGCGGATCGAATCTGAGGATATAGGAGGTGCCGACTGCCGGGTCGACGAAATACAGAAGATGGACATCATCCTAGCTGAGAATGTTCGGATAAACCTTGTCGCGTTTGTTCACGAGTGTCAAGGCACTGCAGGCACAGAAAGCAATCTGCAAGCCTAAGACATAGGCCCCGCGCATGCGTTGGAGACTCTCGAGGAGCTGAACAATGTGCCGTTAGAAGTGCTTGGTTGGGCGCTGGCACAGCATTTTGTTGGGAGGTTGAAAAGATGGGGCGGAATTTGAGGAGGAGATGAACTGTGGATAAGGAAACAGAATGGGTGATAGATTAGAGGAGTGAAGGCTATCTCCCGGAAGAAAGAATTGAGTTGGTCTTTGTTCTGATATCTAAGGTTATTGTAGAGCACTTGTTTGAAAGGATTAATATCGATTCCTAACTGGAGATCGATCTGTCAATGTAAAGTAACAAAGTAAAAAGATGAAGTACTGCCTCATTCACGAGTAAACCGCACTAGAAATGGGAACTGTGGTTATGCAGTATGGCAGGTTTAGCTAAGGTACACAACCTTAACCTGTGCTTGCTAAACAACATCTCAGTTTTAGGTGGTTTTTGATATTGCTGAACAGAGAGCCACACTGCCCCTAGGAATACTGGTTTTAGCGGAAATAAGGGGTCTTCGTGTATAAATTCCAGCTATACGATCTCTCTCTGTATGTATCTAGATCCCGAGTCCTGTCAATAAATCTCATAACTATATATTTGAGCAATGTCAACGACTAAATGAAATCGACATGTAGGCGGTCATCAACACATCACTTGACATACATCCTGAGTATGATGTACGCTAGTTGAGTTATCTCTGTAGGCGGTCAAGGAAAGCATAAAATGCCTACCTCGATTATTCAATACAAGGGCTTAGAAGATTTGGACTTCGATGTCGGTATGTGCTAGGCTCAATATGTGCGGCTGTATTCCATCTTGATTATTCCGAAAGCGGTGGGCACAGGCAACCTAGTATTTAATAAAAGAGTGATAACACCTAGCGTTGAATGATCAAAAAGCTAGTGCAATAACAAAAATCCCTTTCTGCGTGCTTCCGAGATGTGGACTCATAGGGTACGTTTTCACAAGGTAGGTAATTGTTGAGTGCATGTCAGCTGGAGAGTACGGTTTTGGGGATCAGGGCGATTGTGGGCTCTTATCACGCTGGTTTTGGAGTTGAATTGACAACAATCAAAAAAAGGTTTGGTGGTCTAGTGGTATGACGTCCGGTCTTGGGTCTCGCACGAAGCAGGAAGGTTCCTTCGGGAGCAGTCTTAGCTTGACAGTTGTTGATCGCGGAAGACGTGGGTTCGATTCCCACCTAAATCTCCTTTAAATTTGCTTTTTTCTTTTCAATTTTTATTCCAACATCTTTGTTTACCCACTTCCTTTCTTTCATTTTACTTGAGAAGAGTCTGAAGATCCCAACTCATGCATCTTCAAGAATAACAGCGTCAAAGGTAAACACGTTGACCCACCGAGTGCTGCTCATAGAAGTACTCTAACATGTAATGTCTGCCCCGCATCCAACCCTTACCATATTAGGAGCCTACCTTAAGAAGCGATGCACAGGCTGCACAGCGCGCTTCTTCGGGCATCCTCGATCCTCACCTCGCAATACTTCCGAGAGTTCTTCTGTAATTGTTACAGCAAGTCACCAACTGTCAGGCCGTCGAGGCCCCCGAACAGCCACATTACTCCAGTACATCCATCAGGTCGATCGATAGCATGGAGAAGCAGAGAATTCCAGGGCAGTCCAGGATTTACCAATGGATGAGTTTCCCCAGCACAAAAGGTGGATCATTGCGATCTGTTTAATTGCGAGTTACATTACCTTAGACGATGATGCTGGCATCAGGGATGTTGTCATGAATGGTGATGGCGGCGTGAAGGATGCTGATGGTGTTAAGGGTGGTGGCCGCCTCACACTGGTGTTGATGTCGATGGTGATGGTGACATCAATGCAAGCCCGTTACCTACTGATAGTAGGGCCGTTAAGGCCATTGTTGTCGTCAGAAAGTGACGATGGTGGGCATCAAAACTAGGTAATGGCAGTATAAAGACTAGTGCTGATGGTTGCAAGCATAGTGGCGGTGACGGCAACATTGGCTATTTGACACCGACGCGAAAACAGGAAGGAAAAGTGCAAGAAGGGGTAGCAAAGGTTGATGCCGCCAGTGGGAAGCGCAAATAGTTTTTCGCGAGCATCAAATGGTGATATGAAAAGGTGACCATGCCAACAAGTAAACGAAACAAGGCGGAACTGGGAATAAACATCATCCAAGCGCAAGATGTTCGGATCAAGGGCATGCGCAGAAGGCTGAGTGACAGACCGCAGTAGAATAATTCTATACAATGTGTTATTCAGTGTCCCCAATGTCTTATGCTTAGGTACCCAATATCCTCGATTATGATCAGTTGGGCACGGCCACATAGGGTACCCTCGGTGTAAACACAACATTCAACGGCCCAGCTTTTAGAATCAAGTTATCCCTCGACTCTGAGTAGATCCTTGTCCCATCCTCCCCTGGTGCGAAGTCCCAAGTGTAGTGATAGACTGTATAAGCCAGCACAAGCCGAATGACACTCATCCCCATTCTTTTTCCAACGCAGTTGTTGGGCCCTATAGCAGTAGGTCTATCAGAAACTCGTGTCCTGAAAACCACTGGGGAGAAGTGCACTTACCAACCAGCCACGGCATAAACGCCTCGCGGTCCTTGACAAACTTCGACTGATCCGTCCACCTTTCCGGTTTGAACTCGGTCGGTGCCAGGTAAAACTCTTCGCTGCGGTGCAGCGCATATCCCGGCACTCTGACGGCGACACCACCAGGAATAAAAACGCCATCTACCGTGATACCCTCGGGAGGGGTTAGTCTAGGCCCGTTGTTTGCCACCGGGTTGTCCACCCTCATTGTCTCATTAATCACCGCGTCCAAGAGCGGAATCTGTGACAGGTCATGGTTTGTGAACTCATTGGGGATCGTTTTGCCGTAGACATCCTTGATGAAGGAGTGAAGGATGTGTTGGTAATTAGGCTGTTTGGCTAAGTGGTAAAAGATATAGGAGAGGACCACGCCGATGGTATCACTGGTTTCAAAGTCAGCCTAGGAGGACATCATGTCTACGTGAAGGAGGACTGACGTAGCGGCAATCAACACCAATGCCGAATCTGAGTAGAAAATGTTCTTGTTCGTAAATGCAATCGGCTTCTCTGATCTCATGTCATCAAGGAAATACTGCAGAATGTCACCCTTGTTATTGTCTTTTGCCTGTTGTCCCGTTCTTTGGTCAGCTTTGTCCACACCATTAAAAACAGAGAAACTCACAGCAGCCCTTCTGTCAGCCATCTCGATTGTCAACTGATCAAACTCCGCCGCTTCCTTGCCCAGGTTAAGATCCTTCGCGATGCTCAAGGGCCAGCATAACTCCCCCGTTTTTCCAAACTGCCCAAACAAGCTCTCTAGCAAATGCAGCATCTTATTCTCCTCCCCAGCCTCAATCGACCGGAACTCATGTGAGAACCCAACCTTGCTCATATGGTCAAACGCTAGCAAGAGTCCAAACAACGAGGTATTGATCGGCGTGCCGTTGAAACTGGCAATCTTGTCAAGCCACGTGTGACAAACTTCTCGGGTGATCGGTTCGTAATTCGCCAATGCTGTACCAAACTTGTCAGCCTCGTCTTCTCCTATCCAACAACACCACTAACCCTTGGTCGTAAAAGCCCGTTCCCAAATCTTCCTCCTCGGCCCGTGCTCCTCCCTCGTCAGTATCGAATTCAGATTATGCTCCCCCTTGAAATGAATCACATCATAAATCCCCGCGTTCAACTTCCTGCACCCGCTCTCCCTGAGATGTATCATTTTTATCCCTTCCACACTCAGCATAAAAACCTCGTTCGGGGCTACCCTGACAAAGTTGCCGTATTTCTTGATGAGTTTGGTCTGCTCGAGGTGCATTTGTCCATTGCGGGCTGTCCATGGGCCGTAGAGCTTCGTGATCTTGGCGATGAAGGGGCCCGGGATATGGCGGAGGGGGTGGAAAAAGAGCCGGTAGACGATAATGCTGGTGAAGAGCGTGGCGAGGTAGGACACGGATATGGCGGCGGAGGTGAGCACGCCGGAGGAGAGGCCGAGGTGGGTGATGGAGTAGGCTGTCAGAGAGAGGTAGGTAGCGAAGTGGAAAAGGAAGATGCGGAGGGCGCTGGTGTCGTGGAAGCCGCGAATGAAGTAGAGGACGTGGGCGAGGAAGCCGGTTACGGCCGCGAGGAGGTATGGAAGGACGACGCCGAGATTGTCCGATGTTGGAAATACCGAACGGTGGAGTAGGTGGTCCATCGCGTTGGACTTTGGCGAACAAAGCAGAGCACACCTGATTGAAAGATTGACCAGCAGACAAAAGAACAGGCAACATGTGGTCGCGGCTACCCGCCTATATGTACCTCAAAGTCCATGGTGCTGCATCTGCATGTTGTAACAATGACTCGAAGACATTGCTGGTTCCAGAATTATTCCCGCTGATCGATCTCGTAGATTAGAAATATGCGTTTCACCTGCATGTTGCTGAGCTGAGCGTTGCGACCGGCGAGCTTGGTCCTGCTGTCAGCCATGTGTTTTGTTGTTTGATTGGCCATGGTATCGTGGGATGGGTATCATTCTCGATGTTGCGATGTGGTATTGAACTGCGGGGAGGTGAGAGAAGGCCCTTGTAGCTTGGTAGATCATCGCTTCATTTGGTGTCCGATGGCTTCATGTAATGCCGGATAGATAAGCAAGCCGCTGGCCGTGATGGACCTTTTAGAGTTAGCCAACATCCTCGTGAATGGTCCCAGGAGAGCCGCTTACTTTTGTGTGGTGACCTTGTTGCTGACAGCACAGGTCCAGCCTACGGAGTTAGGCGGGGCTATGGCCTTGGTTCCCTCGCCTCGCCTTATCCCGCTCCGGGTGCCTTGCCAAGAAATCTAATGCACATGATTGTGGATCTGAAATAACGTTGTGCGACATCTTTGATGATTTATCTCTGACCTTCATGTGAGATGGCTTGAGGCTCTGATGTCACATGTCGTGTCACTGTGACACAGCGCCTCGAATGCCCATGACGTCGGCTTCCATGTGGGAATGTGGCGAAGGTAACTGTTTGGAAGGGAGACGTTTGTGAGGTCTTCATGTTCCCAAGGCTGGAACTCAAATATCAGGGTAGAATTCAACAAGCGGTTACGATATTCAAGAGGAAGAAGTGTGTAGAATCTGGAAGTGCCTGTCTTCAGGCTGCAGGCCCAAGAGGGTGGAAGCCATGCGGTCTGTGCTCGATGCAATCAACGTTCATCACACTCGTTGTGTTTTTATTCACCCCACCTTTCCATGTGTTGAGACTGGCGCGGGCTTAACTGCCGACCCAAACACTGGAAATGGTCAACGGGGAAGCAGCAGCTTGCAGGTGGGACCTAACCACCATATGGACAAAAGGCGGGTACTGAAAATGTCACGTAAAGCCTCCTTAAATGTTCTATAGGCCTTAAAAGAGTCATGGGTAAGAGACCTCATAAATCCGTGCGCGGGCCTGGAAGGGCAGTTGATGGTGCTTAACACATAGTTGGCAGGTCTCCAAAGAGAGTCGACAGGTCGAAAAGAGCGTAATCGGCATTGGATTCGAACACAACCTGGAAAGGTAGCGGCGCCGATATTTTATGTCGTCCAGCACATGTCACCCCACCATTCAACAACGCTATGCCTGCAACCACATGGGCAACGAGCTATCATGTTCACCTATTACGACACAATGCTAGGGCTAGATTGGGCGAAACAAAACTCCTGACACTTTTCATTGCGTCGGCTTACCCCTTACGATAGATTGGCGTTCTGGCGCCCTTTTCTGCTGTCGCGATCAACACTCTACGCCTATGAGATGCTGAACCCGAACGCCGTGGCTTCTCTTTGTGCGACGTTACACTGACACAAAAGCGGGGAGTGCATGACACTATCTAGTGATATTACCCAACCACACACCACCTTGGCTTGGTGATGTGTAGCAGAATATGCATCTTCATCTTGGCTGGCTTCTGCTATGGGCAAATGCGGTAGGCAGCGCGGCAGGGAACGACCCCGCAGTATCAGGGGGGCAACCAAGGATAAGACGGGAGGACCTGTTGCCTTTATTTCAACATGAACCCAAAAGCTCAATTTGACAAGAGTACTCAATAGTATCACACCAAAGTTCCAGACGGTCCTCAGCAAACAACGCCATGTTGGAGTCCATCAGTGACCTGGAACTCAGCAACACCGCCATATGCGGCTTGGCCGCAGCGTCCGTTGTAACCTGGTACATCGT